TAAGGTAATTCCGCAGTAATTGTTCCCGAAATGAGAATGTGCTGAAACTTCCCAGGCATGGAGTTTATGATATACTTAAAGTAAATCACACAAAAAAGTCGGGGTCACCGAACTCGTTAAGAAGATATGACAATCACAATATACCACCTTTACCCCAATATGGCGCCATCTTGACGCTCATTACGAGTAACAGCAAACTCACAACAGCCCGATATTTATTGACGTTTTTAGCGCGGATTTTGCTTTAGTAAACCTATCTTGTAATTATTTTTGAAAAATATTGTGTTTTGAGCAAAATGAAACTACTAACGTGTACAATTCTGATCCACAAATGTCTTTTGCACATTTCTTTACATATCTTTCTTTGAGAACATGCATTGATAAAGCATTTTTTTTCAAGATCCAGAAATGATTTTTCTTTTAATTTCGGATATGAAATGTAAAATGCATTAAAGAAATAAATTATCAGTTAAAAAACGGGGGTCACCGATCTTTTTAGGGAATTGTGGCATTAAAACGTGAAATACAAGTAAATAAATATACTACAGACACAGGAACCCTAGCTACACTTTTGTATGCCTTTTTTGAAAACATTGATTTTAACGTAATTCTTTGCACGAATGTAACCAAAGATGTTTTGAAGTAACATAAAATTGTCATAAAATGATTTTTTTTTAAACGGTACGTATAATGAGTGAAATTATAAGTTACAAGATGTGCGCAGTAAAAGTGCGCAATGCAAAACTGCGGAATTACCTTAAGACAGTCATGCAATGTTTCAACAAATTAAAGTCTGCTTTACATTTCATCGTCGCGATCAATTTATATTTGCCAACGTGAAATAATCATGATCTTGTCTTTTTTTTTCTTTTTTCTTTTTTTTATTAAATTTACAATCATATTATATAAAAAATACACATACAGCTATGATTGAAGGATTGGACAACAGAACTAGAATCCCATACTAAGTCCATCCCTATGCAAATCAGTCTTTACTGACTGTACTCTACATTCTATATTACATGTAAAATAGTCTGGATCATGCATCTTGTATTCAATTAGCCTTTCTCACGATGACGAATATGCGCCATTTTTGGGCCGCATTTAATTCTCGTTAACCAATGCAAACATTTAACACAATAGGGCCATTTATACGGGACAAAATAAGTCGCGTCTTACATAAGACGCGTCTTATATAAGCTGAGTTATCGCATAAATGGTTCTCTACGGATTTATTCTTATTTACTTGCTATAGCTATAATGTTGTTTCGGTTGTTTTTGTTCGAATATGCAAGGCTAATAATTTTACGTTGTTTCAAGTTTCGGGCATGTGTAGTTAGAATTTTTGTCTAAAATTTCTTATTTAAGACGCGACTTAAATAAGAACAGCTAAAAGTCCTGTTCTTATGTAAGACGCGTCTTATCCAAGACGCGTCTTACATAAGAATTTTGTACCTTTTATACGACAAACTCGCGTCTTATTTAAGTCGCGTCTTATGTAAGTCGCGTCTTATTTTGTCTCGTATAAATGGCCTAATGTGAAAAGCACTTTTTCAAAATAAACTAACCATTTGCAAAGCAAATTTACCATCATTCGTCCAAAAAATTTGAAAAAGTCGCTGTTACGTGGACTTATCTCGCAGACTCCGGTTGCAAAGCCACCCAAAAATGGCGGCGTGAGAAATGCTAATTTAGTTTCTTACAATGTGAAAGGTATATAAGCAAATAAAAGTGTTAAACAAAATAAAATTGTTTGCAAGCGTTTCTTCATACTCAGTCTATATATGGTGATTGTACAATTATGTGCAATGTTTTCAAATAAAAAAAAAACGTTTCAAGGAAGGTTTCAAGCAAATGTTTTAACGTTTAATTTCAATAACTTCTGTTTTTTCCACGATAGCTTCGTGCGACGGTCCTTGCATAAAAATCCGCTCTGTTTTAATGACGTAAGCCGTGGCAGGGGGTGGCGATGGATCTTCACGGACACGTGTTGTTGCCACAGACGGATAGCGGGGTACATTTGATGATCGTGAATAAGTTTCGATTGGCTCGTCATCGTCGATACAACAACACTGCACAACACCACTGAAAACACAACCAACGCCAAAACCTCCCAATACAACACACAAAGTAAGAAACCTAAGAGTCCCAATGTTATCAGAACATATTGGATCAGCCCACATTTGTACACAGAACATTGCGATATTTTCCAGGAAATGTAATATAATAAACCAAGCGTAACCATGGTAACATATCGTGACGTCAAAAATGGACACCAAGAGGGTTATGGTTTTATTCCAGACAGAGAAGGCAAGCGTTTTAATATCTCTGCAACAGTCGGAGCATTGAATGCAGAAATGACAAAATACGAAATATAGAGCGAGACCATAGGCAAAGAAATGAACTACGATCATTCGAACACTGAAAACGAAGAGCAAATAATGTCTGAAAGAATAAGCAAAGAAAGAAAACAGAACAAGTCTTGAAATCAGGAATCCGACCTGGCCGATAAATAAAACACTTGAACAAAAAGTTAACGGTTGGGAAGGTTGATCGTCCTCTTCAGAGGTACCCAGTAAGTAGTCTGAGGGTGTAACAGAAGCAAAACCCCATAATAACGAGATAAAAGACACGGCAAGCGATGCAACAGCGTAGGAAGGAAGACTCCATAACTCTACCATAATATAAAATTGTACAATACACTGAGGTGCTGAGTTAAGAAGAGCTTGGGAAAAACGCAGTCGAATAAGTTTCCGATTCCTTCTGTCCTCGTCTTCGCCCTCTCGCCATTCTTCAAAATAACGTAGAATGACGCACCCTTGAATGACAAAGGCCATTCCATAGAAACACGGCGAGATCTTGCCAGCACGGTTTACAATTGCTACAATATTGACAAGCAATGTAGAAATAATCAGGATTCCTAAAATTCCAAACGCACTTTCTGAACTGGTGTTTAATGCATGTTGCATAAATGCATTCAAGTTCAATGCCAATTCCAGCAGGTAAATTATAACACCAAATAAAATTGGAAACATTTTATAGAGGAATAACAGCGGCAAATATCCTTAAATGGTTTTGTTAATGAAGTTCCCTGAAGAAAGAAAGGAAATCAGTTTCAGTGAGTTGCAGATGGGCGTGTTTCAAACAGAAGGAGGTATTATAGTCATTCCAAGTTAGCCCCCTATATTAAATTGTACAAATTTTCCAGGCGTTTCGTCTGGCACAGTTCCGTTAACGTTACTTCCAGGCATCCTACATCATTATACGTCGTGTGTGAAGTGCAAATTTTTCGTCGTTCTTTCAATAACTAAATATCCAAGCTACTTTATAAATCACAGTAGTCGCTATAGGTCCTACGGCAGGGATATTTTCCACAACTACTGTATGCGTAAAAGGACGTGATTATATTAAACATAACCTCGCGTCACCATATATTTAAAGATAAACTGACAATCGCCCAAATTTTGTATCATTTTTTCTCAACAAATCTCCCCGTGTTGTCTTTCACTTTCACTTTCAAACGTAACAGCCTTATTTTAATATGTTTAATATATCGTACGCTAAAACTATAAATTGTACGTTGTAATTTTAACTTACCTCTAGGAAGTGGACAAAAATTTGACAAAATAGAACCAGAAAAACCTGACTCATTACCCGAAAAAACGCGCTTGTATTAGTGTTAACAGAACTCCGGCGAATTACGAAAGTACTTGGAACAAAATGTTCTAAGAATGAACGCTCTAGTAAACTAGAACAATGATCAAGTCATAATCAAGTTTCACATTCCAAATACAAAAAATCTTGGCAGTTTTTACTGAACATTATTAAATAATCATAGCCATAGGTTTAAAATGGAATTCTAGTAGTTTGAGTTATGAAATATGCTAGTATAGTATATTGCTGCACACTTGAGTAATTAAGTATTTCTATAGACATAATTGAAAACAGCAGGGATTACAGTGCGTCTACTGTAAGTGGGGTCACTTAGAGAACAGTAACCAATCGCATTGCAGAACAAAAAGAAAAATCTAATCAAACTAAAGCTCGTCCAATCAAAAGAAAGATTCAGGAAGCCATTAACTGCAGTGTTTACTTTTACAAGTCTATTTTTACCGTTTGGCATTCGTTTATTTGTTCAAATTGTTTTTGGCCTAATGCTGATTGGCTAATGCGCCGTTTGTTCATTTTTTCAATTTCTGTTCTGCAATGTGATTGGTTAGTGTTTTCTAAGTGGCCCCACTTACTGTAGACGCACTGTAAACAATAAAACAACATCAAGGCAATAAACACAAAAGATAATGAAAACGCATAATTTCACTTTCTCTTTCCTGCTCAATTTTCATATCAACAACATAATTTAAATACAGTCCTGATCTCAAATCCCAATAATGCTTATCCTAATCTCAAATCCTAATAATGTTAATCTTAATCTCAAATTCTAATAATGTTAATCCTAATCTCAAATCCTAATAATGCTAACCTAATATAAAATCCTAATAATGTTAATCCTAATCTCAAATCCTAATAATGTTAATCCTAATCTCAAATCCTAATAATGCTAACCTAATCTCAAATCCCAATAATGTTAATCCTAATTTCAAATCCTAATAATGCTAACCTAATATCAAATACTAATAATGTTAATGCTAATCTCAAATCCTAAACTCCAATCCTGATCTCAACCATAACCAACATTGACAACATAATTTTAAAAAATAATTCTTACTTGTAGCTGTACAAGGTCGCTGCAATAATTTTCGCTAGAGCTTTTACTCCCAACTGTGAGAATTCTAAACATTTGAAAAAAAGTAAAAATTTAAAAATCCAACTACAAGATGACCAAATTTGTAAGATTTCATAGAGACATTTCTGTACAAGAAGCAGTGGATTGTAGCATAAGTCGTTTCATTACTTTAAACAAAGGTCTTCACTTGAAACGTTGAATTTCTCTCCGTATTTTTCAGCCAGTTGCATCTTTATCAACTGAGATTTTGTCATTATTTACTTGGAATGTAGCCTCAACAAGTGGTGGAAGCCCAGACTGCAAATTTGGCAAGATATCAGGGGCACAGAAGCTACTAATCCAGAGGCAGGGGCACAGAACAGTCTCCAAAAGCCATTATCAAGGGGCAAACAAACAAAACCACATCTTACTGACGTTTGAGCCTGGGCACTTCAGACAACCACTACATTCACAATGGTTTTCAGCAGTCAGAAATCAAGATTCCAATTCAGATAGATGGGGCAGGCAGTCTGGGATCTAGATATTTTTTGGTGTGCATTTTGGCATTCTTGTTTAGTTAACCCATTGAGTCACATTGCGCCCTACCGTATTATTTTACTCATCAAGGGGCGCTTAATAGGTTAACTAGCCTATCTGCCCATGGTTAACTAGCCTATCTGCCCATGTGTCTAGTTAACCCATTGAGTCTCATTGCACCATGATGCGCCCGCAAATTTACTCGACAAGGGGAGAGTGCTGGCGCTTAATGGGTTAACATTATTTGATGTCCAAATTTAAAGGGATATGGCAAATGAATATAAATTAAGTTTGTCTTATTTGAAAGAACATTTAAAATGATATATAAACTTCCTTTACAATTATTCCGTATCTTGCCTGGTTTTCGAAAAATAAATCGACTTATTTTTATCAAAAGCAGCGTGCATTCCACCATCTTGGATATGCATTCGATATGCAAATGTCACAAGTAAGGTCTATAATTACGGGAACCACTCAGTATTTTAAGAAAATACAAAATAACAGTAACTCCGAATAACATTTTGATTTTTAATTAATCGACGTTTCGACTAGTTTGTAGTCATCCTCAGGATTAGTTCGATCTTGATTTTTAATTTTTAATCGACTTTTCAATTAGTTTGTAGTTACTAGTCAAAATGTCCAAGGTTCCAAATGAGGCCAGTTGTGCCTGGGAACCCAATCTCATAAATGTTCCAATTTTAGGCAAAAAAATGGTAAAAATTGAAAAACTAGGCAACCAAAAAACGTAAACTAGGACGCCCTGATATAGGTAGCAAAATCGGTTGTCAGTTTGTGTTGTGTACATGTATTCTACATTATCATGCTTAAATCTATTTCGAAATATTCTGCTATTTTAATACCGTATGTAATGCTGTTTCTGTATTATATTAATAATCTCTGTTTTAGGAATGTTTTTATTCTGTCAACATGTCTAGATTTAGATTAAAACAAGGTCATTACGCGCGATTGGTATTTTGGAGTCTGGGAACATCCTAGTTTTTGACGACAACAGCCTAGTTTTTTTCCAAATAAGGTAATTCTAGGACGTTCTCAGACCCCTGCGCGCAAAAAACTAGGACGTTACCAGTCTTCTTCACCTTCTCACGCCCAGAAATCTAGGCAGTTTGCATTTATATAATTACAATGCATGATATCAAAATACATTTGCGCAAATATGTTGCAATAACATTGATGTAAACAGAAAAAAAGCAAGAAATGCATTATATTCTTTATACTCAGTAGAGCTACCAATAGTACAATGTACTGAATATTAGTCATTATGCTTATCATTCATTTATTGAGGCAATAATTATTTACGCAAATAACGCAATGACGAATTGTGATTCATGTTTGGCATACATTAATACATTGTAATTTTTAAGAGATAGTCATCAACTAAATTGGATTCTTCGGTGTTGTTTTTAAAGCTGTTGTTTCTAATGTGGGCATAGGCATGGTCTTGTTTTTTTAGTTTGAATACTAAAACTACTTTAAACTAGAGTTGTTATTATATAAACCAACATCTATAAAACCGTAACTATATAACGTTACAGTATTTATGGTCCTAGTATTGATTTTTAAAAGAACTTAGAACGGCAATTTTATAAAGACATTACCAATAGGCAACACCAGAAATGATAAAATTGTGTGTATTGTAATTGTATTGCAATTGTCACTAATTATAATGTTTATGGTGCAGTCATGCCATTTCCATCAGTACTGGTATCAAAACCTGTAAAATGGACTATACTTTACAGCCATATATTACTAAATACATATCAAAACATGTATCATTAATTCATTTGCGCTAACCTTATAAGCCTCTCGCAAAAAAAGTTTTTTTTTTGGGGGGGGAGTACTTGAAAACTTGAAAATTGGTTTGTTAATTTTTTTAATACTGAACCCCAGGCACAAACAAAATGCCATTCGGAACCCTGAAACGCCAGACTGCAGAGTTGGGCACAGCCGCACCCGATATTATCTTTCTTGAAATTTTCTGCGCACCTGAGTTGCGCAACATGCTGAAAGCGAGGGCCGAAGACCCGAGGAAATTTTTAAATTTTGAGTCTCTGAAATGCCATTTCCTGGACTTTGGGGAAGATTTGACAGAATTCTGATGGTCAGAAAACAGCGTTTTAGTATGTTGAAATTCACGATTTAGTAGTACTAAATGGGCGAAGGCGTATTTAATTAACTTTATATTGGATAAGTTGCAGGAAAGTATGGGTAATATCTTCATTCTTTGCAGTTTGTCATGGATTAAATAATATGAAGGTCTGCATGATTTTGAAAAAAGAATGATTATTAGCAAATTATTGCTACGGCCCTGATATATTCTTTGTTGACATATGATAATACGGATGCGAGTGTCAAGATTCGAGACTCGCATTTGAATAAATATTATATAAAATGAATAATTAAACTTCCTAGAGCACCATCCAATGATTTACTTTTATCTGCCATGTTGCAAATAAGAAAATTACTACTCTTCAGGCAATAAACATGACTCAGAGACGTAAGAAAAGGCTAGTGGAAAAATATAACACACGAAATTTACATATTTTACGTGACCACGTGCGTTGTGCGCCCGCACCTCGCTACAACTGTCCGCACTTGCACTTTTACCTCATGTTATTTTGCGCACCTGCAAGTCATTTTACGCACCCGCACCTATTTTACCCAAGCTTTCCGCACCCGAGATCTCGGCGAAAAGTGCCCAACTCTGCAGTCTGG